ACAGAAGAAAATTTTTGTACTGCATTTTTTGAAAAGACAAAACATCTCTTTGAGCGAAAAAGTCTTAAAAAAATCATTCGTTTGTATTAATAATAACCTAAATATCAAATTAAATTTTCGCGGGTAAATGTGTGTAAGCCAAAGATGGAGTTAAAAACGCGCGGCAAATTCAAATGTAACCAATTTCATGAATCGCTCTGTATAACTAAATTATGAATATTTATTCACTGATTTAATATAAAGGGATACAAAACGTATAAAAATCCTATGTTACACATAAGAAGTCAGTATAACATATTTGAAACGCGCAAAAACGTGAAAAACAAAAATTTTAATCAACATAAGTGGAGATTGTATGAAAATATGTACGCATTTCCATTTTATGCGAAAGAAAACATTTAATTAGCAGAAGTGACTTCATTTGATATATTCGTATGAAAAGAAGAACTAAAAACAGTTTTAATCTGTTTATAAAACGCTTTGAAAAAAGTATTTTTCTCAATTGTCGGCTTCTTCGGTTCGTTCATTTCGAAGTCGAGGAAAAATATTGATTATCAACCACTGCTGTCAATGGCATTTACTCGTTTAATAATTTATCACTTAATTAACCCTGTCCACGTTATATGACTCCGAGCGACTATCTAGCTGGTCTATTTTTAATTTTATTACATCTTATCATTATAATTATACTTGTCAGAGAAATGAATTAGTTCGTGCGGAATTCTCATTCTTGAGTTATGAGTTGCATTCTGCAATATTCGTTCTTGTAAGGTTATACAAAATTATTAATTATAGTTTGTTTATTTGATTTGGAAATTTAGGAAGTTAGGAAGTTAGACACTTGGGAATTTAACAAGTTTTTAGATTAGAAATTTGGATATTTAGGAATCATGGATTTGAAAATAGGAAGTTGTAAAATCAGAAATTTAGAAATTTGAAAATTTGGAAATTTGGAAATTTGGAAATTTGTAAAATTAGAAATTTAGAAACTTGGAAATTTGGAAATTTAGAAATTTAACTTTTCCCAACAATTAGGAGTTGCAATTATTACTTACTCTAAGTCAATATCTATTATAGAAAACACAAATTTTGTATTAAATTATTTTTCCAATCATTTTTCGTGGATTAATGGCAAACTATATCTACAGCCCCGAAAACGGGAAATTATCTAGCAATCACCATCTTAATTCCATGATCTCAAATGTGTAATTGGGAATACACAACCAAAAGAATCCACACTTCGTATCTTTTGTCAAAACCACGCAATACAAATCTAATAAGTAAACTAAATATTTCATAATTAACACAAGATTAATTACAAATGAAATTCACGTTCATTATACATAAATATACAAGCGAAATTAACAACGACAGTAAAATTTATTCCAATAAGAAATTCTTATTTCAATCCATCTAAAGATGTATTATTATCAGAACAGTTTACTAACAATAACGACAATAAATTTTTCAGGATACTTGACAAATACCCAATCATATATGATTCTAGTACAATGTAGTACAAATGAATGAAAATGAAAATTTCATTAAAGCATAATTTTTCTGCATAAAATAGTAACTCAATGAATAAATAGAACACAGTATCATTTACAGTAAGTTGATTAACAGTATTTCTACAGACAATTCCCGATAATATTCTGTGAAAAATTAATTCTAATCCATAAAAGTTTACAGCGCAATTAGAGTGTTGTCATGGTTTATTCATCAGGTCGGGTACTAGACGGAACCTTTTTACACGCAATTTGCCCTTCATTTATTCCTGACGACTAAGTAATCTCGTTAGTTTCGTTCATCGATGTGGAAACATTTTTCTTCATAACTCGACCATGGTTCACGGTATCAAGAAAAGTATTCTTAATCAGCCATGAAGGCACTCGTATCTATCAAGCTTCCGTTCCGTTGTTCGTTACAATCGTTTATCAATACGACCGTGTTGCTGTATGTAGGCTGAGCACAGGAATTTTGTGGAATTTCGGAGAATGAAATATTTGGAGGTTTTGGGAGTTTGCGATTTAGGGATTTTGGAATTTACATTTGGAAAATTTGAGAAGTTAGAATTTTGGGATATTTAGAAATTTAGGTGATTAGGTAATTTGGGAATTTGTACGTGTGGAACATTTGGGAAATTTAAAAATCTGGGAAAATTGTGAAATTTGGAAATTTAGAAATCTGGAAAAATAGGGAAATTTAGAAATTTAAAAATCTGAGAAAATTGGGAAATTTAGAAATTTCAATAATTTGAGAATTTAGACAGTTAGAATTTAAAAACTTAGAAAATTGGAAAGTCTGGGAAAACTTGAAAATTTAGAAATCTGGGAAAATTGGGAAATTTAGATATTTAGAAATCTGAGGAAATTGGAAAATTTAGAAATTTGAATAATTTGAGAATTTAGTCAGTTAGAATTTAAAAACTTAGAAAATTGGAAAATTCAGGAAAATTGGGAAATCTGGGAAAATGGGAAAATTGGAAAAATGGGAAATCTGGGAAAATGGGAAATCTGGGAAAATGGGAAATCTGGGAAAATGGGAAATCTGGGAAAATGGGAAATCTGGGAAAATGGGAAATTTGGAAATTTAGAAATCCGAAAAAATTGGGAAATTTAGAAATCTATATATCTGGGAAATTTGATTACTATTTTCTAAACGACTTAGTTAATTGCATTTTCAGTTCATAGTTTCCGGTAGAATATTGCACAACCGGATGTATTCATGGCTACCCGGAAATTATGTTAGAGTGAAACTATTGATGAAGCTGGCTTTATTCGTAATATTTTATGCGACTTTCGAAATAGGTATTACACTTCGATTCACATGTGAAACGCTGCTGTTGTTTTTAATTTTACAGTAGATGAATTCGATGCTAACAAGTTTTAATATGTAATTTCCTTCGTTAATAAACTGCAGTAGTTTTTGCGTTTATGATATATCGAGGTTTGCAAGGAAGACATAAATCATTTAATTCATAGATCGTGAATCATATAGTTACGTGGTTTATTTACATTTTATAGATTTTGATAAATTACTAGTGTATAAATATTCACAATGTAGTAATTAATATTTCGTATTTCCATTTTTATTATACCTGTAAAAATTAAAAATTACAGTACGTTTGCTTCATTATGTGATATATTTTTAATTAATGTAAGAGTAAAATGTCTATATATATATATGTTATACATTTTACTCTTATATATAATATTTATATATAATTTATATCTAATTTATATATAATTTAACCATTATATATAAATGGAAATTTGTTTGTACGAAATTAATAGACTTCGACACCGTTTGACCAATCACAATGAAGATTGGCACACATATGTATTTTTCCACGGAGAAGGTTTTTAGGTATATAAAAAATTGGTGACAAATTACAACTACGATAAAAATTTTCAATTTTTATTATTTTTAGAATTTTTTTATTTTTTACTATTTTTATTTTAAAATACGGATATTCACTTTTCCTGTACGTAGCTGTGACATGCCTTTGGGAATTCGTATAAGTGCCCAAAATACTTGCAATATTACGTTACAGGTAAAAAACGATACCTATGTGTCAAGTTACAAGTAATCTCCACACATTCTTTATATTCTCGAAAAAATTGACTAAATATAGAAAAAAAAGTACGTAAAATTTTTTATTTAAATTCAGCTCAAATTTTATTTACTCATAATAAAAAATAAATTCAAGCATTATGTAGAAATTGTTAATTTTTTCTATTAATTGTTAAAATTAAATAATTTTTAAATTACAAATGAATCGTAATAAAAATTGTTAAAATTATGAATTTTGTCTATCACTTCTTTCTTTTAAAAAATAAAAATGAATTAATTTAACAAATATTAAATAAATATAATTAAACATATTTTATGAAAATGAATTAGTTGATTAACAAAAATTAATTCAAATAAATGAAATCTTGAAGAGAACAATGAACAGAATAATGGTAGAGACATTCTTCGAATAAAAAAATGTATTTTTTCTGTCAGTTGTATATAACTAAAAGATCGGGAATATAAAAACCAATTGATTTCAAGTACATACCTTCGCTTTAAAATCAAAAGTAAATAGCCAGAAGTTCTAAAATTGTCAAATAAAAATAAAAGGTATACAGAGGAAATAAAGCATCCAATATAACGTAGTGACAAATATAATTGTGACCAAAGTGATTGATCATTGAACGATCAAAAAAAGCTCAACTCGAACCGAGACCAGAATCTAAATATAGCTTGATCAATTCGGATTCTCAGATCTTTTTGATTGGAGTTCATTAAACGAATCAGACCAATCAACGCTAAACAATAACTCTAACAATCATACCAATAAATAGTAACTGCAGTAAACTCTCGATATAAGCGAAATGCTTAAAATTATAAGTAAATATATTTCAAATTATGTCGTGTTTGGTTTCATTTCAATCAGAAAAATTTTGCAAATATTTTGCTAAAAGTTTCATAAAGAAAAATGAAAAATGAAGAAGTTCTATTCTTGCATTAGGATTGTTCCATATATGTGACTAACAATAACTTAATTATTACAAAATGTTATATACAATACAAATATATAAATATTTATTTAGGCTTTGTATTTACCTGCGTTCAGTGAACTTCAATCACTAACTACACGATATAAACGAAAATTCAGACCTGAAAAGTACTTATACCGAGACTTCACTGCAAAGCGATGACCATAGTCATCTCAGAGACATTAAACGTTCAAAACGACCAAGAAGTAGCATTCAAAAGAACTAGTTGCAATCGCACGGTGGTCCAGTAAAGAGCAAGTTCCGGAAAAAGGCTCGTTATCGCCGGTGCACAACAGGAAACGTTCACGGGGCTAACGAGGCTCGTGGCCGAGCACGTGGCTAACCCTGTCGAGCGTGTATCTGGCTCGGTATCCGTTTACAGGAAGCGGGCTATTTACCGTTTTTACTCGAGTGTCACTTACAGCCGTCTGGTTTCCTCGTCACGTGCCACAGGGAAGCGGAAGAGCGCGGTGGAGCTGCTCCAGGAGACGAAGGCCTTGTACGTGAAGAGCGAGACGGTGCTGGACCGGAAGCAGGAGCTGAAGAACAGCGGACATCTTCAGGTTTCGCAGTTGAACGCAGCCAGTGCACCACCCAGATTGCTGAGAAAATGCGCCAACACCTCGACCTGTTCCATGCAGCCGACGTCCCCGTCGCAGCTGCCACCTGCTTCGTTGACGCCGCCATGTTGTTGGGCATCTTGCCACGAACAGGATAAGCGTAAGTCTTTCAACACTTGATTAGATAATTAATGATCTATAGTGATTCCCTGAAATTAATTTCGATGATAATTCATAGCTTATTTCATAGTTATAGTATATTTGGTTTCTGCATGCGAAGTGTAAGTGATTTTGATAGTGGAGAGGCAGATAGGTTTGATGAGATGGAAAATGGTAGTTATGAGTATGTGGCTTCAAGGTTGAAGAAACACTGAGTGAAGCTTTTGAAAATATCTTTTATGTGGAATAGGTGATTGGAGGTTTGAACATTTAGAAATTTGGGGAGTTGACAATTTGAAGATTTGGGGATTTGGGGATTTGGGGATTTGGGAATTTGGGAATTTGGGAATTTAGGTATTTGGGGATTGGGGGATTTGAGGATTTGAGGATTTGGGGATTTGGGAATTTGGGAATTTGGGAATTTGGGAATTTGGGAATTTGGGAATTTGGGAATTTGGGAATTTGGGAATTTGGGGATTTGGGGAGTTGAGAATTTGGGGATTTGGGGATTTGAGAATTTGAAGATTTGGGGATTTGGGAATTTGGGAATTTGGAAATTTGGGGATTTGGAGATTTGGAGATTTGGGGATTCAGGGGTTGGGGGATTTAGGGATTGGAGGATTTAGGAATTTGGGAATTTGAGGAGTTGAGAATTTGGAGATTTGGGGATTTGGGGATTTGGGGATTTGGGGATTTGGGGATTTGGAAATTTGGGGATTTGAGAATTTGGGAATTTAGAAGTTTGAGAATTTGGAGATTTAAATATTTGGGAATTAAAAATTTAGGAATTGGGAATTAAGGAATTGGGGAATTTGGGAATTTAAATATTTAGTAATTTAGAAATTCGAGAATTTGGAGATTTAAAAATTTAGAAATATGGGAATTTGGGAATTTAAGAATTTAGGAATTGGGGAATTTGGAAATTTGAGAGTGGAATTTGGGATATTTGGGAAATTTGAGAATTTGTGAATTTGGGACTTAGGGAATTGAGAAATTTGGTAATTTAGAAATTTGAGAACTTGCAGATTGAAAAATTTAGGAATTTTGAGATATCAAAATTTGAGAATTCAGGAACTTGTGGATTTAGAGATTTGCAAATCCAGAAATACAGGGATCTAAAAATCTGAAAATATAAGAATTAAAAAATTGTCAAATACAAGAATTCTAAAATTAAAAAAATAAAAAATTAAATTTGACAATCCAAAAGCTTGAAATATAAATTGTAAACTATGTAACTAGAAATTTGTAGACATTCCACTAACAAATTTACCACAGAACAATCCAGCGTGGCACCGGCTTAAACGACCTGCCATATCAAGCCTCGTGGTTTGTTCCGTTTACAATGTATCACGTTACTCCGAGAAATTGCCATGATGCCGTCTCTGGCATACACCTTCGAGCACATGATCGATTTAACTCTGGCTATTTAAGTGTCGTTTATTCCTTCGTTCGTATAGCTTTTCCTTTCCTTTGCCGGGCAACTTGCCACCACGAGATAGCCGTAAGTGGTTGTCTGAGCACTTTCGAGAGCTCTTCGAATCTTCCCGTAGATAGGTCTGGGAATAAGTAGCGATCATTTATGAGATATTCCTTGGCTAATGCCATTCGGTAAATCGTCAACTCTGTTTACGCGTATTTTATATAATTTTATGAATCTGCAGGCCATTCTGATACGTCGCTTTTAAAAATATTCATATTTCTCAAATGAGTTTCGTAACTACGAAAGATATTCGATTTTTACTTACCTGAGAGGATTCCGTAGATTTTCTTAACTGTTGTCAGTTTTTAACATACTATGAATTTTAATATCTGTTTAAATAGTCATTAAACTTTTGCGACCGTATTAGGGACATGCAAAAGTTCTATCAAATTTAAGATACTTTTCTTCATGAATAATTCATGGTCGTATAGCATGTTTAATCAAAATGAGGTAAGTGCTTATAACTTTGACCTGCTCAGGTTTAGGATGTAATCTATTTTCTCTGAATTATTATCTAGTGGCAATTTTAAATAAATAAGATGTAAATTAGTTATTGCGTGAAGTAGTCCGTGTTAAATTAGTAGTTTAAAAATAGATTTTTTACAACGGAACAAAATTAGTAACTGATTCACTTCTTCAACTCTCACATTCTCAGGCTCCCAAGTTTTCAATTTGTCAATTTGTCAATTTGTCAATTTGTCAATTTGTTAATTTTTCAATTCTTCAATTCTTCAATTCTTCAATTCTTCAATTCTTCAACTCTACAATTCTTCAATACCTCAATTCTTCACTTCTTCAATTCTTCAATGCCTCCATTCTTCAATTATCCAATTCCATCATTCCTCAATTCTTCAATTCTACAACTCTACAATTCTTCACTTCTTCAATTCTTCAATGCCTCCATTCTTCAATTATCCAATTCCATCATTCCTCAATTCTTCAATTCTACAACTCTACAATTCTTCACTTCTTCAATTCTTCAATGCCTCCATTCTTCAATTATCCAATTCCATCATTCCTCAATTCTACAATTCTTCAATACCTCAATTCTTCACTTCTTCAATTCTTCAATGCCTCCATTCTTCAATTATTCAATTCCATCATTCCTCAATTCTTCAATTCTACAACTCTACAATTCTTCACTTCTTCAATTCTTCAATGCCTCCATTCTTCAATTATCCAATTCCATCATTCCTCAATTCTTCAATTCTTCAACTCTTCAACTCTTCAACTCTTCAAGTTTACAATTCTTCAATACCTCAATTCTTCACTTCTTCAATTCTTCAATGCTTCCATTCTTCAATTATCCAATTCCTTCATTCCTCAATTCTTCAATTATTCAATTCCTTCATTCCTCAGTTCCTGAAATCTTCAATTATTTAATTCTCTTATCTAATTTAATTCTTCAATTCAATGCTTCTATTCAATTCTCCAATTTTTCTATTTCTCAATTCTATCATTCTTCAATTCTCAAAGTCTTAAATTAATTTTTCAAATTTCCACAGCTTTAAATTTAAAAATTTTCATGATTTTAAACCCCTGATATTTCCGCGTTTCCAAACTTCTAATAATCCATAAATCCGATGTCCCATAATTCCAAAGTTCAGAATTTTACGAATCACCAAATTTCCAAACATCGTGTATATTACACATTAATCGTGCATGGATGACGAATTAATCAAACTGTTCATATAATCGAACGACGTATATGGCTCACGTGTAACATCAAATATTACTATTTATTACAGGAAATTCAGCATATTTGGAATACTGTTAATTTGCAATATCCAAAAGTTAAAACAATTGCGTACAAACCTTAATTTAATATTTTCTTAATTTTCTTAACACCATTTACATTGAAATTAAATGTTAAATTATAAAAGTTTTTCGGTGGATATTCAATCACTGTAATTTTCGTATACTTAAAAACTTTCGAATAAATCATTGAATCTACTTACTTTCATATTAACCTTTTGCACTTCTTAATTTCTTTTATTAATTTAATTTGGAAAACAGATCAAGAAAAGGGTTCTCAATAAAATACATTGCAACAGTGCTGAGTATGTAACATATATTTTTCATTTATTATAACATTTTGACTGCCACCCACACATGGGTGACGCTTAATTTTCCATACGAATGTACCATCTATATTATTAAAAATTTGTCCACTAACCTAATTGGAAATATTCGTATTGATTATTTGAAACTATGAATAATAAGTATAACTAAATAATGTGAGAATATTTGGTAAGATTTGTTAGAAACAAAAACACTATCTAACCCTTTGCACTCGAAGGTAATTTGACTGTTTGCAAACAGCAACTTTAAAACTTAGTTAAAAAGTTAAATGAATTCTCTTGAGGTTATTCCTTCTCTATTAATAATTTCCACTATTGTTTGTTTCTCTATGTTTATACATCACACGTGTAATATTATAGAATCAGTTAAAAAATGCTTATTTTAAATTATTGTATTAAATAAAATGGTGACTGAGAGTCACCTCTCGAGCGCAAAGGGCTAATATAATTTTCAACTGCTTCTGTGTGGCAGCCAACGTTATAAGTAGTAAATAAAGAGTATCTTTATTTATGCAATCTATTTATCCGAATTAGTTGCAAAATGCAAGAGAAATGTGATATCAAGCCACACTCGACATAGAAGTGCAAAGCGTTAATTCCGTTGTTTCGTGGTTTGGCGAACATTTCGGGAACACAAATACGATGAAATTTTCGGTATCACATGTTGCTAATTCGGAATACCGAATATTAATGTAGTTTGGAATATTCTAAAGCGTACCGTTGCTTTTGTTTCATGGGTAACAGCTAACGTCAAAAGAAGAGAACACCGAATGCAGTGTTTCATGCGTGAAATATGGCTACACTGCGAATGCGCTGATTATGTCTCCGGAAGTAACACCTCTGACTACTGCAAGTAAATTTTAAGACTTCGAATTGATATTTACCCGAGATTGTTTCTGTGTTGTAACTTTTATGCCTGATTGGATTATAACAAATAATTGTATTACCTACGTATTTCTTATTTTTTGAAGAGAAGAGATGCAATACCTATCATAGTCATTTTTGTAATTTTTCAATTATATTATAGTTTCGAGTTTTTAATTATATATCAATTCTATTATAGTTTCGAGTTTTCAATTATATATCAATTCTGTTATAGTTTCGAGTTTTCAATTATATATCAATTCTATTATAGTTTCGAGTTTTCAATTATATATCAATTATATTACAGTTTCGAGTATCTTTTATTTTTCGAGTTTTATTGCGATTAATAGTTTAAAATGTAAAAGTTAATATTTATACCTGCACCGTAATCAAATTGTCATATTTTTGTAATTTTTCAATTGCAGCAATGTTTCGAGCAACTTTGGAATTTCAAGTTTTATTGTCATTAATAGTTCGATATACGGAAGTTTATATTTATACATTCACTATAATTAACATTTTTTTACATTTTTGAAATTTTTTTACATTTTTGAAATTTTGCAATTATATCAATGTTTTGAGTAACTTTGGGTTTTCAAGTTTTATTATAACCAACAGTTCAAAATATAAAAGTTTATATTTATACTCTCACCATAATTGAATCGTTGCTTATTGTCAGTTTTCAATTATACCAAAGTTTCAAGTGCATTTTGTTTTTCAAGTTTTATTATAACCAATAGTTAAAAATATAAAAGTTTATATTTATACCTTCACCATAATCAAGTAGTTACTTCTTGTTATATTTTAATCATACCAAAGTTTCAAGTATCTCTTGTTTTTCAAGTTTTATTATAACCAATAGTTCAAAATATAAAAGTTTATATTTATACCTTCACCATAATCAAATCGTTAATCTTCATCATATTTCAATCATACCAGAGTTTCAAGTACCTATTGTTTTTCAAGTTTTATTATAACCAATAGTTAAAAATATAAAAGTTTATATTTATACCTTCACCATAATCAAATCGTTAATCTTCATCATATTTCAATCATACCAGAGTTTCAAGTACCTTTGTTGTTCAAGTTTTATTATAACCAATAGTCCAAAATATAAAAGTTTATATTTATACCTTCACCATAATCAAATCATTAATCTTCATCATACTTCAATCATACCAGAGTTTCAAGTACCTTTTGTTTTTCAAGATTTATTATAACCAATACTTAAAAATATAAAAGTTTATATTTATACCTTCACAAAAGTTTATATTAATACATATCTTTTGTTTTTAAAGTTTTATTATAACGAATAGTACAAAATATAAAAGTTTGTCAAATTCCCTGTGATGCAGGTTCCCACCCTCCGCAACTTTTTATTCGTCTCAAACAAACTAGTATTCCAAATATGCTGCACTTCCTGTACCGTTTATAGAAAGAGTATTTGTGTTTCTTAGGTGCATCGCTGCACTTGTAAAAAAATTGAGGTCGTAGGAAGATAGGCTTTCTTATACCATTCAGTTTCTTTCTTCACAATTTTCTTCTCTGGTAGTTTTTACCATTCCCATGGAACAACTTGTGTATTTGTTCCAAACCTCTTGTTATGAATTAAAATATCACTCTTTATTATAATTTCTTTGGTTTTCACAAAAAATAACTTGTGATCAAGTCATTTGACCTGGAGATAGACTTGTGACCTGGTCGCAACATTTTGTCAATCAGGAATATTAAAGAAGTTCAGAAAAGAGTAACAGAAATATTCTTTAGTGGATAAATATTAAAAGATCTTGACGAACTATGTAGATGATTTGAATATTTTTTAGATGCTACCCACGTATTAAACGATCGTATTTTTACTTAATTCTTTGCGGTCGAAGGCTGCGGTATTCTTAACGGCACACTTTTACCGTTTTGGTCGCGTGTCGGGAAAGGATCAACGTGGTTTGATGACGGTGGTTTTCCTCAGCGTAGGTGTAGACACGCATTATTCATTCTGTTCACTTCTGTAATATTATATTCCATAACCAGATGTGTTTCCGCTATTCCGAACACATCCGTCTACTGATTTACGCAGAGTATCTTTATGGATTTGTTTTATGTGAATGGAAATATTAAAATCCTCAAATCCTTATATTCGTATATTTTTAAATTCACAGATTCCATGATCCTCAAATACTGAATATTTAATGTAATATTTACAATTGAAGTATTTCTAGATTTCTATGTCTGTAGATGTCCAAATCCCAAAATCTTCAAATCCCTAACCCATCCCCAAGCTTTGAAGCTACAAAAAATGAATGAATTGAAGATTTCGATCCACATCGTTGCCATATTTTATGTAAGAAAGCTAAATTTACTAAATTCCTAAGTTCTCAAATTGTTAATTTACCAGCCCTCTAAATCTCTATATCCATAGATGTTCAAATCCCAAAATCTTCAAATCCTTGTCTCATCCCCAAGCTTGAAGCCTTCAAAAACCACAAAAAATCAATGAATTGGTTTCTATCCACATCGTTGCCATATTTTCTGTAAGAAAGCTAGATTTACTAAATTCCTAAGTTCTCAAATTGCTAATTTACCAGCCCTCTAAATCTCCATATCCGTAGATGCCCAAATCCCAAAATCTTCAAATCCTTATTTCATCCCCAAAGTTCACAATCTTCAAAAATCCAAAAAAATGAACAAATAGAACATCTCTACCCGTATCGTTACTATATTTGTCGTAGGGTAACCCGATGTACCCTTAACTGCACTAACGAAAAACTTGATGTCTCGTAAATTTGTTCCTGACTGTGCTAATGAAAACCTTGATGTCTCATATATTTGGTTGACATTAGTATGTAGCTCGTTGTTTGTCGTTGTTTGCGAAATCAGGCAATCAAGATTCCCGAGAAATTTTGTTTGTCTTTCACAGCAGACGGGATACTGAGTCCTCAACAAACACTGCCACCCGCGCTGCCACCGAAGAGTCCACGCCTGGTTCCCGTTCCGCAGAGGCGCACGATTTCAGGGCCGCCGAGCAGCACCGGTGGAGATCAGCTGCAGACGAAATTACGTCGATTGCTAAACACCGACAGCAAAGAGAACGTTTTCTTTCCAGACAGCCCGACGCAGACTGTCGTGCAATCGAACGGTGTTCCTCAGGAAGAGAAATTCCGATACTCGCCTGGTAGCTTGTCGCCCAATTTTCGCGATGAGGACCGTGGAAAGGTAAAGTTCTTTCGTATGTTATATATTTGTGTTCTAAGACGCAAAAATGTATAAATTGTTAGTGTAAATAGTATAAATTTTTGTGAGACTTATAATTGACTATTTATATTTGTTACGGTGGTTAAAACTGCTTTGATGTAGTCGTACACTGTAGGTTCAAAATCAAGAGACATTATAATGCAATGCAGTATCTATAAACTACAATAATATATGTATATGGAGCACTCATAGGACGCTATTGAAGCTGATTACGTTACATTAATATGTAGTTAGATTTTACGTATTTTATATTTATTTCAGTTTTTTTAGTGTTTATAGAAAATTGAAACATATTGAAACTTGGTTATTTTTAATTTTGTGAAGTATGGAATTTGGAATTTGAGAATTTGAGAATTTGAGAATTTGAGAATTTTAGAATTTTGGAATTTTGGAATTTTAATGTTTAAAAAATTGGGAATTTTGGAATTTGAAAATTTAGAAATTTGAGAATTTCAGAATCTGAAAATTTAGGATTTGGAATTTAGGAATTTCAAAAATTGAAAATGTAGGGTTTGGAATTTGGAATTTGAGAATTCAAAAATTTGGGAATTTCAGATATTGAAAATGTAGGGTTTGGAATTTGGAATTTGAAAATTTACAAATGTAGGAATTTTGAGGTGTAGAAATTTAGAAATTTAAGAATTATCAATTTAGAAATTTGAAAAGGTGGAATTTAAAAATTTAGAAATTAGAGAATTTCAGAATCTGAAAATTTAGGATTTGGAATTTGGGAATTTCAAAAATTGAAAATGTAGGGTTTGGAATTTGGAATTTGAGAATTCAGAAATTTGGGAATTTCAGAAATGGAAAATGTAGGGTTTGGAATTTGGAATTTGAAAATTTACAAATGTAGGAATTTTGAGGTGTAGAAATTTAGAAATTTAAGAATTATCAATTTGGAAATTTGAAAAGTTGGAAAATTGAAAATTTAAGAATTTTGGAATTTCTAAATTTGGAATTCGAAAAACTAGAAATTTGGGAATTGTGGCATTGTGGCAAACTACCACAAAATTTTCATATTCATAGTACATTCATCCCTTATTTGACTTCTAAAAGAAGAAAGAATAAAATTCAAATACCTAAAAGTTGAAGTTAAAAGGATTAAAAGTCTCGTAAAAATCCTATTAACACATGGTACTACAATCTTCAATGCATTCTAACTCCGCACGTATATCTGTTTACACCTTTGATGAATTGCAACCATCAAAGAACTATGGACAGGAAACAAAGTTAAACAACGGAAGTTGTACATACACGGGTTCGTGTTGTACACAGATGTATTCTTCCGCTATTTTATCAAATACGTGTACAGCATGAGCGATGCAACTATATTGATACAGGAAATTTTGCGTTTCATTTTATAAATTGTAGTAATACTTGCTGAGTCATACTGTAGCATACATTTAATTTAATATTTAATGTATGCTACATTTAATATTTAATATTTATAAGAGAATATGGTAAAATCTTACTTGAACATTTATTTTATGAAAATTGTATATTGAACATTTATTCTATAAAACTGAAATAAAAGAAATAAAAATGTGATCTATAATTTTTGTAAAGAGGAGGAATATAAATTTACTAGTAAACATTAGTTTATTGTAAAGAGTGCAATTTATGAAAAATAATTTTATTTTATTTTATTAAAGAATGGATTTGGAATTTTTTAAGTTTGATTTGGTGTTGTGAAGTTTTGGGAATTTGAAAGTTTGAAACCTTAGAATACTGGAATTTTAGAATTTTGGGATTTTAAAGTTTTAGGATTTTGAGACATTGTTACTTTAAAATTTTGAGACTTTGAAGTTTTAGAATTTTAAAACCTTGAAATTTTAGAATTTTGGGACTTTGAAATTTCTGAATTTTGAGACCTTGAAATTTTAGAATTTTGGACCTCTAAATTTTGACACCATAAGACTTTGGAATTTTAAATTTAACTCTTAATATTTTAAATTTCTAAATTTCCAAATTTTTAGATTTCTAAATTTTCAGATGTAAAAGTTTCTAAATTCCTAAATTAAAATTAAAATTTTTTAATAATTCAAATTCCCAAATTTAAAAATTTTCAAATTCTCACATTTCTAATCACCAAGTTTCTAACTTTCCCCATATTATTGACCATACTAGTTAAAAAACTTACTACTCAGCAAACTTTAACACAACCTTATATTTCTCCTCTATCAGACAAAAAATATCTGCAAAACGTTTCAGTATTCAATGTTCTCACTTGATTCTAATTCACGACTTTTCTAAACAAATTCATAAAAATTACATACATACTATAACACTTCTATTCTTTGCTATTCTGAATTCAAAATACTAACATATTTTGACATCAAAAATACATTAATAAATTAACACTTAACCTCATAAATGTACCTCTTTCGATTCTGACTTCCTAAAATAGATATTTCTCTCAAATTTTTATTAAACCGCGTCAATTTAATAAAAATTCAATAGTAGATATATTCCCTCGAAAATTTAACCCATTACATACAAATGAAAATTGAAGATTTAAAATTTTCATCCACATATATGTCATAGCAGTCGAAGCATTGAAGAATTAGAATACCGAAATAAACCACACTGTTAACGTAAATTATAAAGCAGTCACTATTCATTTTGCAGCACTGTTTGCAGCAGGATGCTCGCTTCAAGTTTGGCCGTAGTAATTCGCATTCGCACACTTCTGGAAGGGCTGCAAGGAAGTCGACCAGCTCGCAATCGGTGGAGAACACAGTCTGTCACAAATCTTTGCCTGACCTCCATACGAGCACGCGACGAAGAGCGTCTCTGTCGCCACGTGCATCGACCAACTCATCCAAGCCACCCGGACATCATCAATCCACGAACAATTGCCCGGATTGTGAAACTAGCTCAGATTATTCGGAGCACAGTTTTAAACGAGATGCGGTTTGCTATCGCAGGTGCTTGAAACATTTTGACATGTGAGGTTTCATAAATTTTGATAGAACAGGAAGAGACAAGTTAATCCACTGACGACCGTAAACGTACCGACATGCTCTTCGTGACTGCTCGTCGATAAGCTGCAGGGTTTATTGACCATCTTATAAGCGACACTGCTTCAAATATTTAGTTGTTTTACTATAACTTATATTCGATTTTTCTGGAGGTTCCTGAACTTTGTCAGTGATAGTATACCTTAGCATTTATGTTTCTTTTAATAGTTTGTTCTCTTGTGGAATTATGGTAAAAGTGTATTGATGTTTTATGTTGATCTTCATGAAATGGAAATACTTGATATTGATTTTTTATTGGTGCAAAATTTTGGGACTTGGAGATTTGGGAATTGGCAAGTTTGGGATTTGGAGATTTAAGATTCTGGGAATTTAGAAATTTAAGAATTTAGGAATTTGTTAAATTAGGAATTTAGAAATTTAGAAAAGTTTAGGATATAAAAATTTAGGAATCTGAGAATCTAGGTATTTGAGAATTTGGGTATTTAGAGATTTAAGAATCAGAAGTCTAGGAATTTGGAAATTTGGAAACTTGTGAATTTGGAAGTTGAGGAATTTACATATTTAGAAAGTGTAGAACTTGAGATTTCAGAGTCCAGGGTCTGGGAATATGAGAATTTGTAAATTTAAAAAATTGGAGGTTCTGCTATTAAAAAATTTATGTCCAGAGTCATTCAATGTGGTGGTCATCAGTGGATTAATCTTGAGCCATAATTACTCATTACAATCTTGAACACTAAAGAAAACTTAAAGTTTATATTATTACTTAAGTAATATATTGTTATTGACACATCAACAAAGATCACACAATAAATAATGTTAGTTTATATCTCATATCATGTATATCTGTACACAATTACATATATTTAAGGTTAAAAATAAATAGATTAAGTTTAAAAATAAATAGAATAAATCTACATTTAGTAAAGAAAACAGAAAAGGCAGGGTTGCAATAGTCAAATAAAATTCCTACACTCTCAAATGAAATATTAAAAACAATTTATTTAAGCATAATTTTACAGCTTCATTCGTTGAAAGTCATACAATTACAATATGTTCAAATTATCACAATATTTTAATGAATAGAATTAATATATACCTAGTAAATTAAATTTAATTGAACAGTATATACATGATTTTATTTAAACTTGTTTTAGCTCCAGACACATCAGACGTTCCTTCGGTTCAGGCGGTGGCGATGCCAGTAGCGTATTATCCTCGGGTGGTCGAACACAAAAATCGTCAGGTTCTAGCAAACTAAGCCACGGAGCAACAGCAAGAGATTCAGGTGGTTCGTCAGGGCATTGTACACATCGTAGCGAACCGCCTCCAGTAATACAAGTACGGTTAAAATATCAACGTGTGTTTTGAAAACACATGGTGGAAACCTCTGTTTATGGAATAAAATATATTCTTTAGGATTGCTGGAGTCATATACGCCGTGACAGTGGTGCATCTACTCAACACTCGACGGAAAAAGATCGTTCAAGAAGAGGTAGTTACGCTAACGGTACACCACCATCTGTTGTAAGACGCTATAGTCCCGATTCGGAGAGCAGTAACAGCCAAACGGATTATAGTCCCACGTGTAATTCAAGGTATGTACTACATAATCATCGTTTAACTGGTTAGAATCACAGTCGAATTCAGAGTACATCAAAGAAAGGATATTTGTGAAAAAATAAATGGAAAATAAATTTCTTATGCTGGAGGTTTCAGGTTTGAGGAAATCAATCTCAAAAGGTATACAGAGTAGATACTTGGAATAAGGTATAGTTTTTTAAGAGATATTGAGTGGTGTAAGAAGGTTCATTTTCCTATTATGATAGTTGTTTTATAAGTGCAGTGATGCACTCAGAAAAATACAAATGCATGCTTTTTTATGTGCAACTGTATTTTATCTTTCATGTACATTGAGTTTTAAAAATATTTTGTATAAGACAGCACTGAGGTTTAATGCTAAAGAAGTCAACAAGTAACTGCCTCAAAGATACTTATTAAAAGTCAACTAAAAACCTTCATAATTTCTACACACCAATATCATCAAGAATTTTGAAAAAATTTAAAAAGATGTTTAGAAGAACTTTAATATTTTCTTATCTCTAACTTTACATTATTTTCATTTCACAATTAGAGAATCTAAAACTGGCAAGAACTTTCATGGGTATTTAATATCTGTATTACGAATTCGACTGTGAACTATATAAAATTGTTCTACAAAGAGCTAATTAGTTATTAATCCCACTGGCTTGGAAACAAAGTAAACGAGATTTTAATTACTGTAACAGGTTTTCCGATGGTTGGAAAGAAGGTCGTGGTCGACCAATTTTAAGATCTAAATCAGATATTAGTGATCGCTATTGGCGTCAAGATAATGGTCGATCCAACAAAGTACCTGCCCGACCTCCTCGGTCAATTACTCAGCTGGAGAGTTTCTTCGATTGTTTGGGCCTCGATTCGGATAATTTTCACCGCATCACGGAGCCAGATTCGAAGACGTCGTCTCCCGTATTTTTTGATAGCGTTAGCTCGGTTGATTCAGCCCTTGGTCTTTACTCTTGGGCTGGGAACAATCAAACAAATCAGGGTAGTCAATGGCAAAACAATGATTGTAGCGTTGGCATGGGCAACGACGATTGCAACCAAAGGGCCAGCGACCCGCCAAGCATTGTCGAGCGTAATGCTCGAATAATCAAATGGCTTTGTCAGTGTCGAAAAGTACAGTTTGGGTACAGTTAAACAACGAGTTTAGAGAAATGACAATCGATTTCCTTTTGTTTTTTAATTTCAGTAGCATGCGTTTGAGTCAACGAAGGTATACTGTTCTTTCATCTTGCCAACTGATAATCTGTACACGTTGCAGAACATTTTTGCTTTACTCTTAAGTTCGCTAAAATCGAGACGGAGTTTCTTGCTTTTCATTTCCAGTTACTAGTGCTGCAACAAGTAGCATCTTAATTTATAGTTTCTTTTTCTTTTTTTTTTACTTCAGATGAACAGATGTGCCATCTACTTTTATAACTTGTTATTGCATTCGCGTTGTGTCTTCGCTATCGAATTGTCACCGATACATTTCGATGTGACGTTCTATTTTAATCGATGCGCCCGCGTCAAAATTTGTACATACAATTAGTAGAAAGTAGAAATTATGGAATATTTTCATACCTATAGTCGTATAACTTTTTGCTTGTTCGAACAGTTTTATTTTTAGCAGATAAATTTATTGTCGTACGTTAATTCGATTGAATTTACAACGAACCTGTGGTACGTGTTTTGTATCACAGTTTTGTCGTTTATTAGTTTAAAAAGTTATGTATGAAAATTGTAAAATTTATTGCGATGTTTTGACTTCCAAATTGTAAATTAATCGTTTCTAAATTGGATTGTTACAATGTTTCTCGGTACAACGTTCTTGGATAAATTGCATTTACATTAGTTTTTTGTACTAAAACGACAGATTTATTTTTTTCTTGATCCCTCATTTTCCCTGACACGGATTTTAAGCACTAATTGATGTGTTACTATTCAACGAGTGATTTGATACTGAATGATAACTGAACGTATGGTTCGCTTTCTTTGATTAAGTAGGAATTGACAGGAGGGTATTAAGATTGTATCAAAAGACGGAATTTTGTTTTCCAATAATGCAGAATACTTGCTGTGTTTTCGATAGAATTATTACCATAGTAGCGTTAGTTCGAATTCATGAATGTTTTTTGCCACGTATAGTGATTGTATTAATCGGTATTCAGCTGTACTGTAGACATACAAATGTTATTGGTACAAAGCAGAACAAGATGTGATTTACTAAATTTCTAAGGATTTTTCTCTGTAACAATTTTCACGAATGGAATTTATATAAGGAATTTAATGAATTCTTCATATTAACGTTTTTATATCCTATAACTCTTGTTAAGTCTGATTGCGTTGCATTGTTACAATCTTAATTTGTATTATACTGAAAAATTTGTGAAGTTTTAAAACTTATAATCTAAATGAAAAAAAAAGATACATCTATGTTTGTAATATTTAGTTTAATGTGTTAAAAGTAGTTTTTTAAATTGGTTAAATTCTAATGTTTGAAAAATTTCTTATATGCGCGGTACTTTTTTTATCGTATCTACTTTGTGCCTAAAAAAATAAAAAGAAATTGAAAAAAATTATTTTATTAAGAAATTTATTCAGATTGCTTAATATATGTATACATACGTTCAATATGTTATTATCAACGTTAATTAAAATTTGTGTATGTTATAAATTAAATACTATTCTTTAAGTATTAAAAAAGACACTAACATTGAGTATCTTATATTTTCGAAAGTTTAAATTAAATACAATCTTTAAAGTAATGCGATATATATGTAAAAACCTATAACTAATAAGAAAATGTATTTATTTGTTGCTTAAAACGTTTCTTGATATATTTCACCGTGCAATAATATGAATAATTCACTTAGATGTTTCTGATTTTAGGTGATGTCTATTAGATTATACTGTTTGAAATATTTTAACCACTGTGCGGCAATAAATTACAGATACATTAACGATGACTTTAAATGTTTGTAATGGACAAATTGTTAACTACGGGATTCAAGTATTTTAACAGGCAAAGGGAAGAAGATTTTGTGTAACATAATACGATAAGAAGTTACTCAACTACTCTCATTTCAAGTGATATAGATGTCTTAGATAAATAGTGAGTTTGCATAGATCATAAGTAAAACATCGTAGTGCATTACATTTAAAACAACAAAAAGAGTTGAAGAAGTTACTACCTGTTTAGTGAAACTTAAATTTTTCAAGCGAATGTAAAGTGATGCTTGTATCAAATGTTAGATGTTTCTGTAGTTACGTATCCAGTATTTACTGTAACAATTACAGTTTTTGACAAAAATATATAAAGAATGTAATCGAAATTATAAAGACTGCCCGAGCAGTCTGTCATAAATTGTTACTGCACAAAACAGCATAAAATGCATATGCTTACAAAAAGCATTTTGCTTATAACTTTTTGAACCAAATACTGTTAAATGTATGTATATTAATAACGTTCAGTGATTTAGAGGTTGATTACATCAAAGTTTCGACCCTTAAAAATGAAATTCTTGCCTTACAACAACAAAATTTTAATATATTATTATTAGTTATAATAGTTCGTATTTCGTTAATAATTTTACTATAAAATGTTCAGGAGTGAAACTAAAAAATCTACTTGTAGTTTAGATATATTTACTGTAGGATGTAGCAAACGTGGTATCAACATCCTAAAAATTGTTTTCAAAAAGTTTTAAGCAAAGCAATTGAATTAACATTACATGTTACTTCTTGAGAGTACAAGCACAAGGTGTGTTCTATTTCTACTCTATTAAGATATAAGCCCAACGCTTTGTTGGATATAATATTCATTTTAATCTGTTTTAAATGTATCACCGTTTAAATCCTTCTTTAAGTGTTTAAAAACTTTATTGCTCATTAGTAGAGATATACATTCCACTTCTTCAATATATGTATTTGAATCTCAAGAAGTAAAAATATAGGATAAGTTTTCATTAATATTATTTTGTTTAGTGAAATTCGTTTTTGCAATCGTAAGAGTAATTTGTTATCATAATGAAATGAACTTGTATTACGTTATATTACAACATGTTTTAAGTTATACTTCATGCGATCGATGTACTTGTATAATAAGATTCATTGCGTTATGTTTATCTTCTTAATTTGAGGCTTAGATAGTTTAAATATTAAGTAAATTTGTTGCAGCCTATTTTGTAATTTTAAATTCAAATGTATACTTAAAATGTGGAACTTACGTACACATATATGCATAATTTTGTGATTGATAATATTTAACATTGTTAAAGTCATACATTTTTAATTGCTTTTTTATAATCTAGTCACGTAGATCAAACTATGTTAAATTTCAAGATTTAATATTATTAAATTCCTTCTGTGTATTGCTGACAATTTTATTTTGTAACCCAACATTTGAAACAAAATTCAATTATCACAGTAACCATTATAAACATTCTTTTTTGTAAAATAATGAAATCACATAATTAGTTGTATTTTAACAAATTCAATAACCAAATAATGGTATAGCATATTTTTAAATCAATATTTAGTTATCTAAAATAATTGCCAAACTAACATAGTTAAAAAGATTGAAATTTATTTTTTATATTCGATATTCCCCTTGAAAGATGAAAGTCATGCATCCAAGTCATGTCCATATTATGGTATTATTATTTTACGATACGTCATTTTAATTTTTTAACGAACATAATCAGTATCCGTTCAGTACATCGCTGGATACGTAGAGTCGAATTCCGTTTGAATCATAAATTAACTATGTTTGAATTTAGTGCTCAAAATGTAACACTCAAAACAAGAAATTATAATTTTATTATTTTACTGCTTTATTACTTTATCATTTTACTATATTAATAGTTCATAATGTTTATCATTTTATTATTTTACAATTCCACTATTTTTACCGTTTAATCAATTTCCTGTATTATCATCCTACCATTTCATTGTTCCATCATTTTATTACTTTACTATTTTACAATTTACAGTATATTCTTTGTACTAAAAACTGGAAATGAATTCAGCTGAAGTTCAAACAGAATTATATTTTACGTATTCAACGATATATTGAACAAGTACCTGGAAGATTGTAAAATGATAAAAATGATAGTGTAGTAAAATAGTATAATAAAAATTGTAAGATGGTAAAGTAACAAATTAGTAAAACGATAAAAATGATAGAATAATAAAGTAGTAAAATAGTAAAGTAGTAAAACAGTAAAACTGTAAAACAGAAGAAGAATAATGTAATAAAATGCTTGTACAAGAATAACGTTTGTTCCTTTCAAAGTATATACAGACAAATAGACATTGTTCATTAAAATAGAATAGGAAGATTATCTTTTATTTAAAATTAAGATTTTTGTGTCCACGGTAGGGTAAATTTAAATTGAACGCAGATGGCGGGCCCGCTGAAAATTGGAACGTCATGCTGACCCATAATGCTCTAGGCGCGCATGCGCAAAAGTGAGCTGCGCCTTTGCGGTCCGTGCTCGACAGTCAGTCTTGCGGACGCGCGATTCACGTTTAGTGCGCAGTTTTGGATGTGCGAACCGACCGAAATCGTCGACGGTCGTATGTTTAATCGTGATATTTGACGGAAGAACTTGATCTCTTATGCGGTCGACTGGTGCCTCGTGGTGTGACGCTTTCTGCTAAGGTCGTGGTGGCACGTTTCGCTATGTCGCAAGTGCTTTGGTCGCGAGAGGCACAGTGACGACTCGCCCGTGAGACTGCCGACATCCTCGACAGCCCTGTGATGGAGTCTATCAGAAAATGGTTCTACAGGCCTAAGGTAAGTGCCTTATGTCTTCTCCTGTCGTTGTTTTCTTTACTCCTCTCCGTACTTCTCCGTTTTATTGCGTCACTTTGTTCCTATCCTTCGTGTATACGTCTCGCATCGTGTAGCTGGTTGATCGAACGCGTGTGTTCGTTCTTTTTTCTTTCTTCCTCGATCCCGTCTATGTTGGACCTGCGCGCTGTTGCCACCTGTTTCTTGAAAATTCGTACGATATCTCGAGGAGGTGCTTCAGGCGATGTGTTACACCTGCCTGATATACGCGCACGTACTTCATTGACACGCATACGGCTACCAATTGTTCTTGTTTACAATCCTGTGTTCCCCTACCTTGAGAATTAGCATAATTCTCGATGTACAGAAAACTCGAGTAACGATCGTAGAATATAGCCCGATCAGCTGATACGCGAGGAGATATTAGCTTTTTAAATCTCACCGCAGATCCGCCTACATTATAAATTGTAATTTGAAAAGTCAATCTTGTTTAATTAATTTTATTTTTCGTTAATTATTAACATCGCGAAGATATGGTGTTTATACAAATTTTTCAAATTTGTGTCATATTTCAGTGTATTCTATATTTATCGAGTTACTTTCTCTTTCATTCCCAATAACCTACATGTAAAATCACATGACTTCTACATCTGTCGCGCTTAACCTCAATCTAGGAATGTTAGATAGAGAATAGTCAAGAGTTGAGAAAATCGGTGCTTGTCTTTCTTCACAGAAGATTTAATATTATTTTTAGAAACGCGTTTCTCTGGTTAATTAATGCATCGTGCGTTTCTATCGCATGGAATATTTGTTAGCGCCGAACATTCTTCGCACGTATCAGGAAAAGATTTCTGTCCCTGTTTGTTGAACATTTATCGCCAGCTTTCGAACTTAACACGTGAAAATGTGACGACAAAGTAACCGTTCCGTCTCGTTCGGTGATGCTTCCTCATTGCATCGACCGCTGTATGTAGCTTATTTTATGCGCCGGGAAATGATGCAGCACGATGAAACGAGTCGTTCGTTCTTCCCACCGAACCGATTCCCAGCGATTAATATCTAATGACACGTCTTGTGCGCGTACATAGTTCGCAGATTGTTCGGTTGTCACGTGATCATGTCGAATAGTCACGAAGGGAACACGCTGACAATTAATTCTTACAATCATATCTTTAATCAAGCTAAACATATATCTTTACTATCAGGAAAATATTTGTTTTGTTTTTCTTTGTATATATAGTAATCTACGCGAATGTCATCATGGTTGCTTACATGTTTTAAATTTTCCCGGACGTTCGTATGTCATTCGGATGTATCACGTTACCGAGCCGAATAGGCATAAAGGGAACGACATGATGAAAATCATTAATAATTATTTTTCGAATGATACTTTCGAATGAATGTAGTCAAATTAAACAAGTATCTTATTTTTCCTTTGCCTGTCTAACAATTCATAGGAGTTACGGTGTAGTTTACAAGTTTGAAATAACCGGAACCATAGTTTGTAGATTGTTCGGATGTCACGTGATTGTAGTGAACAGTTTACGAAGCGAGCGATATGTTGGCATTTAATAATTTGCAATTAAGTCTTTTTACAACTATAATTAAAATGAAACAAATATTTGTGTTACTACGAATATATTTTCGATTTTTCTTTCCATTTTCAGCATAACCTTGTATGATTCACTCGAAGAACGTTATCATTTTAAATATGTAGAAACATTGCACGTAGTTCGTGGATTGTTCAAGTGTCACAAGCCAGTGTACATGTGCTGTCACGAATTAGCATATTTTCAAATAATTGTCTATTCGTTTTTCTTAGACTCGCTCCTGTAATCAAATTAAAAAAGTATTTGTGTTACTAACAAAATATTTTTCTTCTTGTTAACGCAATCTCATATGATTTATGCGACTGTTGTTGATGTTTATTTCTCAATTATTAAACATTCATAAAAATTATCCTGACTCAGAATACATGATTGTAACATTAAGTAAGTCATTTGCCATCTCTGAGAAATCTTTGTTTTTTCTGTTTAAAAATGTAAAATTGTCATTGAGATTACAGTAATTAGGTAATAGTATATTTGATCATAAATTGTAACAAAATATGTAGTTGATATATTCTGTAAACAGGCTAGTAAACCGTGTTTTTGATGACACAAGATAATGCTAATAATAATAAAGAAGTTTCTGTGAATCATTTAGTATGTCACTGCGATAAACATTTTCTACGAAAACAATTTCATACGTAAATATAAATCATAAGTGACGCTACAGTGTTGTATAATAATTATAATTTACAGTCTAATATTAATTGAAGTAACGTAATACATTTTCGTACTTGTGACACATTGTTCGATATAATCGATGACGTATCGTGTGCGTCTCGTACCGTCTAATAATTAGCGACGCATCATGTGCGTCTTATACTATCGAATACGTTATTCGTGACGCACCATGTGCGTCTCATACTATTCAATACGTTATTCGCGACGCACCATGTGCGTCTTATACTATTCAATACGTTATCAGTGACGCACCATGTGCGTCTAATACTATTCAATACGTTATCAGTGACGCACCACGTGCGTCTTACACTGTCCACTACAATTGACACATCATGTGCGTCTTAACATTATTTAATATAATCAATGCCGCACGTGCGTCGTAATATTGTAAAATGTTTCATTTTATTTTATTTCTTGAACTTTATGAATTTTAAAAACATTTTATAATGAGGTGTATTTATAATGTGTTTAAGGAATGTCAGAAAAGAAACATGTCGACAGCTCATATGAATAATATTGTTATTAAATATTGAAAAACGTATTACAAATAATTTTCGTAGGAATTTGTTTTCTTAATCAAAGGATGATACTGACGAGTGTATTAGTGAATTCATTACACATATGTAATTAACAAATGTTACAAAATTAGAAACAGTTATTATTATTAAAAATATTATATTTTTGTTGGCTCGGTAATTTTAAGGCTTCTTTGGATCAGTAGTTACAAACAGGCGGGGGGTTCGGTCATATACCAAAAGGGGTTTTCTTGTCATATATCTAGAGAGGTTTTCGGTCATATACCTAGAGAGGTTTTCGGTCATATACTTAGAGAGGTTTTTGGTCATATACCTAGAGGAGTTTTTGGTCATATACCTAGAGGCGTTTTCGGTCATATACCTAGAGAGGTTTTTAGTCATATAGCTAGAGAGGTTTTCGGTCATATATATCCAGATAAATTAATGGCCATATATCCGGATAAATTAAGAGTTATATAAACAGAGAAATTCACGGTCGTATATCCAAAAATTACTGTACTCATTAATCATTAAATTTCTACATTCACTAGTCGCAACTTATTAAAAGTTAAATTTTGATTCACCTGTTTCACGAATTAAATTTGTACAACGAACGGTCGACTGTACAAAAGGTAACACACTTTTCAAGCTATTTGCACGACGAGAAAGTAAAGATTTCAGTTAGTTTACGGTGCCTTGACCATGCTTGGATCAGGTTCAACGCATCGGTTACCGTAGAAAAATTTACACCTCATAAACGATCGTCGAACGCGTTTCGTTTCGTTTCGTTTCGCACGTCATCCACTGACTTTAAAATTAAACGCAGAAACACGTCGGACAAGTCTTTTTCCCTCTTTTTCTCCATGGTCGTTTCATGGCAAATATTTTCTAGTTTAGCTGGCAACTCCGGTTAAACTCGATCGATGTCTCAACTTATCTCGTACCGAAGATATGTACATACTTCCGTAGATGGATTCTGTACAATTCGCAAGTGCATGTCTTGGGCAATTAAATTGATATTATCAGAGAAATTTTACAGAGCACTAGTTAGCTGATTGTTCAGTAGGTTACGTGTGCGTGTCTAGAAAGTTGGCTGCTGGCGAAAATGCAGAGTCTACTGGTATGCGTGCCAACTTATCAGACACGCGGTGTAGTTGCTTCAAAGTTGATATTCTAATAAGTAGATTTTTGTACAGATAGAAAAAAAGATCTTTTTTATTAATACAGAATAATCTATTTACTAGAACAAGACTGTTAAAAATAATGTTAAAAAGTTTCACACAAATTTTTATTTCATTATAAGCAGTTTAGATGAATTAGTACAAATTTATTAATAATGAATATAGAACTTTTCTGTTTAAAATTAATGTTAATTAGATGTGCATAGACTGTAGATTTCAAACTTGAAATCTATAGTATAATCATTCTGTAAATTTATTTCATAAAATTATTTTTAAACCATAACAAAATTATTTGTCAAATCATATGAAAAATTAGTTCATCAGATTTTTGAAGCAAAATAACAGCTGTTAAAAATTCGAAGTTAATTAAAATTAATGAAAAATTGAACACAATCAATAAATTGAACAGTTCTAAATGTATCTTCCAAAAGTTTATTCCGAAAATCTCAAAAATTGAAGTTACAGTTGAAATTGTAAGACCATGCACGCAAAGCAAGGCAATAATTTAGACCTGCGTTCTCCGGTAAACAATTAGACTAGTTAAACCAATTAAAGGAAATTAAACCAATTCACAAAGCACTGGGGAAGATTTGTTGAAAAGGTACCTACAGGCGCTTACAGAAAGCGAAATATAAAAATTGATAGAAATTGAATCAATAGTAGCGAGTAGTATTTTTTTAATAAACTTTCGAGAGGAGACGCTTTTTGTGAAGAATGAAAATAGAGACTTTTAAAGGACCTACATACATATTTCTTTGTGTCGGGAGCTGATATTCACATTGCGGTGAAAGGAAATCAAAGAGAATAGGAGTTGCAAAAGTAACAAAGAGAACTATTCATATCTCGATAAGAATAGATTTTAGGACATGTGCTTATTAAGACTTCTTCGCTTATTTTGACGAATCTTATATCTGTGATTTCTTCTCTGTTATTTTGTGCATTTGGGTGCATTTATTTTCTAGGTTTATTATTTATTGTTTTGTATATTTGGGTACATTTATTTTCTATATTTATTATTT